GTGTGTATGTGTGTGAGAAAGACAGATAGACGAACAGAGACAGAGAGAATGTATTTGTGCTTGAGATCAAACCCAGGGCTTCATACATTCTTTTTTTTTTTTTTTTTTGGTCGGTTGTGGGGCTTGAACTCTGGGCCTGGGTGCTGTCCCTCAGCTCTTCAGCTCAAGGCTAACCCTCTAACACTTGAGCCACTGCATCACTTCTGGCTTTTTCTGCTTATGTGGTACTGAGGAATTGAACCCAAGGCCTCCTGGATGCAAGGTAAACGCTCTACCACTAAGCCACCTTCCCAGCCCAGGCCTCACACATTCTAAACACACCAACAGCCACATTTTGGTTGATTTTTCTGATCCCGGAAAGCTACCAAAAAAAAAAAATCTGTATAGTGGTCAGGCACCAATGTAATCCTAGCTGCTCAGGAGGTTGAAATCCAGAGTACTGAAATTCAAAGCCAGCTTGGGCAGAAAAGCCCTCAAGACTGCCTTTCCAAATGACAGGCTGGGGTAGAGCACTAGATATGAGCAAAAAACTGAGCAAGAATGAGAAGCCCTAAGTCAAGCCTTGGTACCACAAACACACAAAGACGTGTATAATGATTGCTTCCAGGACACTCTTATCTACTTTACAAATTTATTATGAAAAGCATATTCCATCATTTATGTAGAAGTGTTTTGAAGAGTAAATGCAAGTGTACTGGGCCAGGAATACAGATCTTAATATGTGTAACGACAACTAAAGAAAGAAACAAATGTCTATAATTCCATCACTCGAAGAGGCCAAAGCAGTAAGATCTCAAAATTGAGGTCAGCCTAATCTACATAGCCATAGACTGGGGGGGGGTGGGGGGGGGGAAGCCAGGTGCTAGTGGTTCATGGCTGAAATCCTCACTACTCAGAAGGCTAAGATTTGAGGACTTGGTTCAAAGCCAGCCTGGGCAGGAAAATCCATGAGACTCTTATCTCCAATTAAACACCAAAAAGCAAGTAGCAGAGCCTTGGCTCAAGTGGGAGAGTGCTAGCCTTGAGCAAAAAAGCTCAAAGACAGCACCTAGGCCCTAAGTTCAAGCCACAGGACTAGCAAAAAAAGAAAAGGAAAGAAAAAAGCTGGGGCTGGGAAGGTGGCTCAGTGGTAGAGCACTTGCCTTGCATGCATAAGACCCTGGGTTCAATTCCTCAGCACCACATAAGCAGAAAAAGCCAGAAGTGGTGCTGTGGCTCAAGTGGTAGAGCTCCCTTGAGCTGAAGAGCTGAGGGACAGTGCGTAGGCCCAGAGTTCAGGCTCTATGACCAAAAAAAAAAAAGCTAGATACTGGTGACTCACACTTATAATCCTAGCTACTTGAGAGGTTGAGATCTGAGGATCACAGCTTGAAGCCAGCCTGAGCAAACAATTCTACTCTTGTTTCCAGCAAAAAACTGGAAGTAGAATGCTAGCTTTAAATGAAAATGTTAAGTGAGAGTGCAGGGCCCTGAGTTCAAACCCCAGTACTAAAAAAGAGAGAAGGAAGGAAGGAAGGAGGGTGGGCGGGCAGGCAGGTGGGCCGGAGGGAGGGAGGGAGGGAGGGAAGGAGGGAGGGAGGGAAGGAGGGAGGGAGGGAAATACAGAGAAAGAGGAGAGAGAGAAAGGGGAGGGGGAGGGAGAAATGATGGATGGAAAGAAGGAAGGGAGAGGAAAGAAGATGAGAAGGAGGAGGAAAAGGAGGAGAATAAGAAATAATATAAGAATGTAAGATGGTAAGAGTATTATTCTATTTACTTTGCTTGAATTTCGCAGGTCCAAGTGGTAGCTTGTAGCCAAGTTACTTTGTTTCCCATCATCTGTATTTCAGCTCTACACTATACCATTTTTATTGTTATTCAAACAGCTTGCTTTTATTAATTTACTTACTTACTTATTGCCAGTCCTGGGACTTGAACTCAGGGCCTGGGCACTGTTTCTGAGCTGTTTTTTGCACAAGGCTAGCACTCTACCACTTGAGCCACAGCACCACTTCAGCTTTTTCTGTTTTTATGTGGTACTGAGGACTGGAACCCAGGGTTTCATGCATGCTAGGCAAACACTCTACCACATTCCTAGCCCTTGCTTTTTCTACTTAAGCCAGGATCCACCCTTCCTCTCTTTCAAAGCACAAATGAGCTACCTCCTGAGGAAAACGTCCCAGTCTTGCAGAAGGAAATGATAAATTTCCAGATATAGACCATTTTACTTCAGGTTCCCCAGTCAACATGTGTTTACATGTCTAGCCCAGCAATACAGTAATGAATACTTTTGCAAGAGTTTCATCATAAAGCACTTTCACTACATTATCATCCTTAAAATATTTTCACAAAATGTAAAAAATATTTTCACAAATGTGTTTTTGTTTGAATTAAGGAATTGAGCCAGGCACTAGTGGCTCATGCCTATAATCCTAGCTATTCAGGAGGCTGAGATCTGAGGATCATGGTTCAACGAAATCAGAGTCAGAAAAGTCTGTGAGAAAAAAAAAGAGAAAGAGAGGAAAAAAAGAAAAGTCTGTGAGACTCTTATCTCCAATAAACTATTCAGAAAAAGCCAGAAGTGGCATGGTAGCTAAAGTATATCACTAGCACAAAGAGGCTCAGGAAGAACACCCAAGCCCTGAGTTCAAGCCCTAGGACTGGTAAAAATTAATTAAGGAATCAAGTATAAAGCTGTGGCTGAGACAGGAGGATAGTATACATAGGGAAACCCTGTAGAAGGAAAGAAGGGAGGGAGAGAGGGAGAGAGAAAAAAAGGGGAAAGAGGAAGGGGGAGGGCGAGGAGGGAGGAAGAAAGGAAGGAACGAAGGAATGAAGGAAGGAGCCTCACAATGTTGTATTAAGTAGCAACTGATTTTAAAAAATAAAAAATCACCAACTATCAGGCACCAGTGGCTCATGTCTGTAATCATACCTACTCAGGATGGTGAGGTCTGAGGATCTCAGTTCAAAGCCAGCCTGGGCAGGAAAGTCCGTGAGACTCTTATGGCCACCAGAAAATTGGAAGTAGCACTGTGGCTCAAGTGGTAGAGCGCTAGCTTTCAGCTGAAGAGCTGAGGGAACAGTCTCCATGCCCAGAGTTTAAGCCCTAGGATCAACTACCCCCCTCTCCAAGAAAAAATTCAGACTTTGCCACTTACTTGACAGAACTCTGTGTGTGTGTGTGTGTGTGTGTGTGTGTGTGTGTGTGTGTGTGTGTGTGACAGTTCTGGAGCTTGAACTCAGGACCTGGGCACTGTCCCTGAGCTTCTTATGCTCAAGGCTAGCACTCTACCACATGAGCCACAGTGCCACTTCTGGCTTTCTCTGTGTGTTTGGTATTCAGAAATCAGACCCAGGGCTTCATGCATGCTAGGCAAGCACTCTAGTACTAAGCCACATTCCCGGGCAGATTATTCTTTATTTGAAATTCTTATCAGAGGTATCTCCATTTTTTTTCCAAATTTTGAAACACTTGAGTATACATATATAATTAGGTATCTTAAGGAGAGGACCTAATTTTGTGTGTGTGTGTGTGTGTGTGTGTGTGTGTGTGTGTGTGTGTGTGTGTGTGTGTCCGAGCGCCAGTACTGGAACTTAAACTCGGGGCTTTGTTCTCTCTTTTTTTATAATTTTTATTGTAAAGATAATTAGGGAGGGGTTACAGTTACACAGGCCTGGTAGTGAATACATTTCTTTTTTTTCTTTTTTGGTCAGCCGTGGGGCTTGAACTCTGGGCCTGGGCGCTGTCCCTCAGCTCTTCTGCTCAAGGCGAGCGCTCTACCACTTGAGCTACAGTGCCACTTCCGGTTTTCTGGTGGTTTATTGGAGATAGGAGTCTCAGGGTCTCTCCTGCTCGGGCTGGCTTTGAACCGCGATCCTCAGATCTCAGCCTCCTGAGTAGCTAGGATTACAGGCGTGAGCCACCAGCACCCGGCATGAATACATTTCTTTTCCCTTCTTTTCTCTCTTGCTTAGCTTTTTTGCTCAAGGTGATGCTCTACCCCTTGAGCCACACTCTCACTTCCAGCTTTATGCTGGCTACTTTTTTTTTTTTTTTGGTCCGATCGTGGGCCCTGAACTCTGGGCCTGGGCGCTGTCCCTCAGCCCTTCAGCTCAAGGATAGCACACACTTGAGCCACAGCACCACTTCCGGCTTTTTTTTTTCTGCTTATGTGGTGCTGAGGAATCGAACCCAGGGCCTCATGCATGCAAGGCAAGCACTCTACCACTGAGCCACCTTCCCAGCCCTATGCTGGCTACTTTGAGATAAAGAGTCTCTAGGAATTGTCTGCCTGGGCTGTCTTCAAACCACAATTATCAAATCCCAGCCACTTGAGTAGCTATGATTCTAGGAGTGAGCCACCAACGCCCAGTTGGGACTCAATACTAAACATTAAAAATATTGTATATATCTTATGCACATAGCCTGAAGGTGTTTTGTTTTGTTTTACTGTATTGAGGATGAACCTAGGGCTTGAGCATGGTAGGGAAGAGCTCTACCACTGAGTTATAATTACCAGTCCCTTAAGGTAATTTCATACACTATTTTTAGTTCACCTGTTTGTTGAGAGCAATCATTCACACAAGATTAGATATAGAATTTTCTGTTTGTGGCATATCTGTGCTCAAAAAGGTTGATTTTGAAGCTTTTCAGATTAAGGTTGCTTAACTTGTACTTACCTCATAGGGTCCTGCAAGGATTGTTAGGGAATGTGGGATGATAGCTGTTATAAAAAGGAAATCAGCTCTTAGCTTCACTATAACTTGTTCTTCACAGTTCTCGACAGCATACTCTAGGTCATATTCCCATTAGATACATATATATGCTCAGAAATAACACATGCTTTTCTTCCCAGCACTCAGCTGTGATATTAAATTCATGTGTAGACTGTCTTCTTTCTCCCTCTAGAGAACTCTATCAGGATGGTGATGAAATCTGTTTTTATTCTCCATAAAAGCTTTTGCACCTACTACAGCACTCGTCATATAAAACTTCAATTTTGTTGTACAAATGAGATCTCAGAAATCAAAATCCTCTGATTCGCTCCACATTTGATCAGTTCTCTTAATCTGGGGAAAATATCAGAAGTGCAGGAGGCGGTAGAATGAGGCAAAGTGGATGTTACTCCTCGGATCTGAAAGTCACTGTAAGTTTCAAGACTAGAGGGGAGGTTGTGGGAACACTTCACAACAGTTCATTCAGCCCGGGATTTCACAACTGTAAAAGCCCTCCATTGAGAAGCCCCACCGAGGACGCATGCGCAGGACGACAGTTCCTTCTCACCCCAAAACCCTGGCTGGCTATTTCTCCTCACTTCCGCAAGATGACCCAAGATGGCGGGGCCCGTCATTGAAAACCAGATTCAAGATGGCGGCTTCCGGTTTGTCCCCTCCCTCCCTCTTCCTCCCCTTCCTCCCTCCCCCCTTCGGCGCGGCGGGCGCAAACACGCCCACTTCCGGTCTCGCTGCTTCAGCATGGCTACTTTGGGGACTCTGCTTTCCAGTGAGTGGGTGGGGGGCTCAGGGTTCTCCCGCGGACGGCGCCGCCAGCCTGGGCTGCGTGGCCTCTCCTCTAATTAGGCCTTGTTTCCCCAGTAGGTGTCCGGAGGCTGCACGGCGGCGTGTCGGCCCGGGCGGGCAGCCTGTGGCGACTCCAGTGAGTGTCTTCGCTGGAGGGCGGGGGCGGGGGCGGGGCCCGGGAGCCGCGCGTGCCTTCACTCGGCTGTTTTTCTCCCCCAGGCAAGGGCTGGCTGCCAACCCTTCGGGATACGGACCCCTCACGGAGCTCCCGGATTGGTCTTTCGCAGGTGAGCGTTGATCAGTTGACCAAGGAGGTTTTTGCCCCTGGACGGGACGGGATTCCAGCCTGGTGGGGAGTGTGTCTTGAGTGCAAAACGCGTCGAACTTTTTATTTCAAAAACGGGAGTTTGAGGAAAGAAGTCTATTTTGTCAGTGAAACTAAGGCCACAGAAGGTAAAGAGCTGTACAGAATCTTCTTGACTTACGGAGAATAAGCTGAAAAGAACTCTTAATTTGGAGTGCCCAGGAGAAAGTGACTTCTTGGGCTCAGTTGGTCTAGAGCACCAGCTAGTGAACCAAAGCATCTGGTACAAAGCTGAGCCCCGTCTCTGACAAAAAATACAGGAGGACAATGATGTTTAAGTAATTACCACGAACTGCTTTTCTGTGTAGTGAATGCATTTGGGGGGGGGGCATGTCCGGTTGTGGGGCCTGACCTCTGGGCCTGGGCGCTGCCCTTCAGCTCAAGGCTAGTGCTCTACCACTGAAGCCACCTTCCCAGCCCTGAATGCATATTTTTATAACAATTGCAGGAGGAATTCTTTGAAAGGAGCACTTCAAAGAGGTGGAATATTGAGGATGGCAAACTTCCTCTAGTAAAGTCTTTTCCCTTTATTTAAAAAAAGAACAGCGTGGTTGGGAAGGTGGCTCAGTGGTAGAGAGCTTGCCTTGCATGCATGAGGCCCTGGGTTCGATTCCTCAGCACCACATAAGCAAAAAGAAAAATGCCAGAAGTGGCGCTGTGGTAGAGCGCTAGCCTTGAGCTGAAGAGCTGAGGGACAGTGCCCAGGCCCAGAGTTCAGGCCCCAAGACGGGACCCAAGAAAAGGGCTGCCCACTGGTGGCTAATGCCTGTAATCCTAGCTACTCAGGAGGCTGATATCTGAGGATCATGTTTCAAAGCTAGGCTGGGCAGGAAAGCCCCTAACACTCAGGTAGTTAAGCCTGAACTCTGGGCCAGGGCACTTTCCTCAGCTATTCAGCTCAAGGCCAGCGCACTACCACTTGAGCCACAGTACCACTTCTGTCTGGCTTTTTCTGCTTATGTAATGCTGAGGAATCAAACCCAGAGCCTCAGGTATGCAAGGCAAGCACTCTACCACTGAGCCACCTTCCCAGTACCCCCTCCTCCAACACTTTTTTTTTTTTTTTGTTGGTCATGGGGCTTGAACTCTGGGCCTGGGCGCTGTCCCTCAGCTCTTCAGCTCAAGGCAAGTGCTCTACCACTTGAGCTACAGCGCCACTTCCGGTTTTCTAGTGGTTTATTGGAGATAAGAGTCTCATGGTCTTTCCTGCCCCTGCTGGCTTTGAACCGGGATTCTCAGATCTCAGCCTCCTGATTAGCTAGGATTACAGACGTGAGCCACCGGTGCCCGGCTTCCCCCCCAACACTCTTATCTCCAGTTACCTACCAGAAAACTGGAAGTGGCACTGTGGCTCAAAGTGGTAGAGCACAGGCTTAGAGTTCAAACCCCACAACTGACAGAAAAAAGAAAATCCTATAGTGGTGATGTAGTAAACCCAGCACTGGTACTTGGGAGGCTGAAGCAGGAGGATTGTGAGTTCCAGTCTAGCCTGGGCTGCATAAGACACTGTCTCAACTCCCCTACCTTCTAAAACAGAATGACAAATAGATTATTAGCCCAAAAGAGTGGGACCTCAGAGAAGTTGAAGCCACTGTGAACACTCTCTTTGAGAGATTACAGTTTACAGGGAGGAAAATGCAGGCCTACAGAAGTGAAATGCCTGTGATATAGCAAGTAGCAAATCCCAGATTACAACTGGTCAGGGGTAGGGGATTCTCCAGGATAATCATTCTGCTGATTCAGATATTTGGTGACTGAGGAGGCTAAAGGAGATTGTTTTCATCGTTTTTTTTTTTTTTTTTGCCAGTCTTAGAGCTTGAACTCAGGGCCTGGGCACTGTCCCTGAGCTTCTTTTTTTTTTTGGTCCGGTCGTGAGGCCTGAACTCTAGGGCCTGGGCGCTGTCCCTCAGCTCTTCAGCTCAAGGCCAGTGCTCTACCACTTGAGCCACAGCGCCACTTCCAGTTTTTTTTTTTTCTTTTTTGCTTATGTGGTGCTGAGGAATCGAACCCAGGGCCTCATGCATGCAAGGCAAGCGCTCTACCACTGAGCCACCTTCCCAGCCCCTGTCCCTGAGCTTCTTTAGCTCAAGGCTAGCACTCTACCACTTGAGCCACAGCACTGCTTCCAGCTTTTTCTATTTATATGATTCTGAGGAATTGAACCCAGGGCTTCATGCATGCTAGGCAAGCACTCTACCACTAAGCCACCGTCCCTTCATCTGCTATTTTCTGTAGGCATCCTAGGATCTTTTTGTCATATGAAATTCCAGAAAGACTGGGTACCTGAAATGAGGTGCTGGAATTGACCTAGGTCCTCTTGCATAATAAGCATGTGTTGTACCACTGAGCTACACCCCCCTAGTGTCCCTGTTTTTATTGTTAGTGGTGGTGGTGGTAATGTTCGTGTTTACCTGGGCTTGGGCTTGAACTCCAGGCTTAGTTGCCCATGGCAGTCCTGGGGCTTGAACTCAAGGCCTGGGCTCTGTCCGACCTTTTTGTTCAAGGCTAGCACTCTACCACTTGAGCTACTGCTTTACTTCCAACTTTTTGGCAACTTAGTGGATATAAAAGTCTCACAGACTTTACTGCCAGTGCTCACTTCAAACTCTGATCCTCAGGTGTCAGTCTCCTGAGTAGCTAAGATTACATGTGTGAACCACTGGTGCCCAACTCCCCATGTTTAATTCTTTTTTTTTTTTTGGCATTTGTGGGGCTTGAATCCTGGGCCTGGGCACTACTCTGAGTTGCTTAGACATAGCACTCTACCACTTTGAGCCACAGCTCCATTTAAAGGTTTTTGAGTGGTTAATTCATGGTAAAAAGTCTCACAGGGACTTTTCTGCCCGGCTGGCTTTGAACCATGACCCTTAGATCTCACTACTGTGTTTAATTCTTAATTTAGACTTTCTTATTTACTAACTTCTTGATTTGTAACTCTCCAGGGCTTTACCTTTGTAATTAAAGGGATAAAATAAAACAATGTAAAGCACGTGGCATAAATAATACTGATTCCCTTTTTAGGGAGCCATGTAGCTTTGGCTGGCCTCATTATATAGCCCTGACTGGCTCAAAATCATCAGCCTCCTTGGCCTTCTAGTATTGGAATTATGGGTATCTCTTTCTTCATAAATAATACCTCTGAAGTCAGGCACCAATGTCTCACACATGTATTCTGGCTACTCAGGACACTGAGATCTGAGGTTTGTAGTTTGAAGCCAGCCTGAGGAAGGAAAGATTCTAATCTCCAATTAACTACCAAAAAGCTGGAAGTGGGGCTGTGATTCAAGTGGTAGAACCCAGCCTGTAAGGGACAGTACCCAGCCCCTGAGCTCAAGCCCTAGTACTAGGACAAAAGAAAATAAAATAATACCTGATTTCTTGCCTTCAAGCTTTTAGACAATATTTTCTTTCTCCCTTCTGATTTTGTGTCTTGTTTTGCTTTTTGTTTTGTTTTATTTATTTTTTTATTTTTATTTTTTTTGTCGGTCGTGGGGCTTGAACTCTGGGCCTGAGCGCTGTCCCTCAGCTCTTCAGCTCAAGGCTAGCACTCTACCACTTAAGCCATAGCACCACTTTCGGTTTTCTGAGTGGTTTATTGGCGATAAGAGTCTCATAGCGGGGGCTGGGAAGGTGGCTCAGTGGTAGAGTGCTTGCCTTGCATGCATGAGGCCCTGGGTTCAATTCCTCAGCACCACATAAGCAGAAAAAGCAGGAAGTGGCGCTGTAGCTCAAGTGGTAGAGCGTTTACCTTGAGCTGAAGAGCTGAGGGACAGTGCCCAGGCCCAGAATTCAGGCACCATGACTGGCAAAAAAAAAAAAAAAAAAAAGAGTCTCATAGGGCCAGGTGTTGGTGGCTCATGCCTGTAATCCTTGCTACTCTGGAGCCTGAGATCTGAGGATCACGGTTCAAAGCCAGCCTAGGCAGGAAAGTCCGTGAGACCCTTATCTCCAATAAACCACCAGAAAACCGGAAGTGGCACTGTGGCTAAAGCGGTAGAGCGCTAACCTTGAGCTGAAGAACTGAAGGACAGCACTCAGGCCCAGACTTCAAGCCCTACAAGCAACCAAAAAAAAAAAAAAGAATGTCATAGACTTTTCTGCTAGGGCTGACCTCCAACCAGGATGCTTGCATCTCAGCCTCCTGAGTAGCTAGGATTACAAGCATGAACTACCACCTAGCCCATCTTTTTTTTAGTGTGTTTGTGTGTGTATGTGTGAGTGTGTATGTGATTTCTTGAGATCGAATCTTGTGTAGCCTAGGATTCAGTCCTCCTGCCTCAGCCTCCTGAGTATACCAGTGTATAAGTATCTCTTTTTTTTTTTGGAGGGTCGTGGGGCCTGAACTCTGGGCTTGGGCGCTGTCCCTCAGCTCTTCAGCTCAAGGCTAGTGAGCTACCACTTGAGCCATAGCACCGCTTCCGGCTTTTTTTTTTCTGCTTATGTGGTGCTGAGGAATTGAACCCAGGGCCTCATGCATGCAAGGCAAGCGCTCTACCACTGAGCCACCTTTCCAGCCCTTCTGTTTTTTTCTAACTGAGCAACTATCCTTTCTCTTGATCTGTTATAAAATTATTGTGGTCACATACTGAATAATTTCAGCAAATCAACCAAAATCTTCGGAATCTTTATTATAGTATAGACAGTAAAACCTTGTAATACATTACCTGATTTCAATGAACTTAGTCTTAGTGGGAAAACAAAACATAAGCATTTTAAAAGTTAAGTAATATTTCAAGCCTGGCTCTGGTGGGGTCACACCTGTAATTCTAGCTGCTCAGGAGGCTGAAATCTCAGGATCACGGTTCGAAGCCAGCTCAGGTAGAAAAGTCTCCAGGAAACTTTTTTTTTTTTTTTGGGGGGGGGGGGGGTCTGGTCGTGGGGCCTGAACTCTGGGCCTAGGCACTGTCCCTCAGCTCTTCAGCTCAAGGCTAGCGCTCTACCGCTTGAGCCACAGTGCCACTTCCAGCTTTTTTCTTTCTTTTCTTTTTTTTTGGGGGGAGGTCCAGTCGTGGGCCTGGGCGCTGTCCCTCAGCTCTTCAGCTCAAGGCTAGTGCTCTACCAGCACTACTTCCAGCTTTTTTTTTTCTTCTGCTTATGTGGTGCTGAGGAATCGAACCCAGGACCTCAGGCATGCAAGGCAAGCACTCTACCACTGAGGCACCTTCCCAGCCCCTCCAGGAAACTCTTATCTCCAACTAAACATTCAGAAACGAAAGTGGAGCTGTGGCTCAAACTGGTAGAACGCTAGCCTTGAGCAGAAGAGCTCAGGGACAGCACCCTGGCCCCACAACCAACAGAAAATAATAATATTTCAATACTTTGCCAGGATCCAGGAGGATGGAAGATAGCTAAATAATACTAAGAAAAATAGTACGAGTGTCTCCAGTTTTAAATATAAGCACTTTCTTCACAAGAGAGAGAGAGCAAGTGTGCTTGAAGCTTTGGGTTGGATCCCCAGCACCACAGAAAGTGATCTGGAGTTGTAGTTAAAGTTTCTGGGGAAACCCTGCATGAGTCTTCAGTAGGTGAAGATGAAGACTTGGCTGGAAGAGAAAAGGGCATTTCACACACGTATAATCCCAGCATTTGGGAGGCTGAGGCAGGAAGGTTGCTAGTTAAAGACCAACTTGTACTACCTAAGTAATTCCTAAACAAGCCTAGTTTAGTGAGACCAGTCCAAAAAAGAAAGAAGGAAGGAAGAGAGAGAGAAAGAAAGGGAGAAGAGAGAGAGAGAGATCTAGTCATAAAACAACAACAAAGCTGGGCACTGGTGGCCCACTCCTGTAATCCTAGCTACTCAGGTGGCTGAGATCTGAGGATCGCTGTTTGAAGCTGACCTGGGTAGAAAAATCTGTGAAATTTTTTATCTCCAACTAACCACCAGAAAACTGGAAGTAGCTCTGAGGCTCAAAGTGGTAGAGCACTATCCTTGAGCAAGAAAGCTCTCAGGGACAGCACCCAAGCTCTGAGTTCAAGCCCCACTACTTAAAAAAAAAAAACAACTGGAGCTGTGGCTAAAATGGTAGCCTTGAACAAAACAGTTCCCATATCGAGTTCAAGCTCCCAGTGCTGAGAAGAAGAAGAAGAAAAAAAAAAAAAACCTGGGTACAGTGGGACAGTGGGTCATGCCTAAAATCCCAGCTATTGAGAGCAGAAATTGAGAAAATAGATTCGAGATCACCTGGGCAAAAAGTTAACAAGACTCCATCACAATAAGCTGTCATTCCAACAATGCATAAAGTCATAGATGGGCAGATTGGAGGTCTGAGTCCAGCCTAGGCAAATACTGTCCTGAAAATAACCACAGTGATGAGACCCTGAGTCCAAACACTCACTAGTACTGCCCAAAAAAGAGGGATAGGAAAATATCCATTGTACAGTGGAATGAAATTTAGAAAAGACACTGACTTAGTGAAGAGCAGTTAATTTGTTCTTTGTTTTTAAAGTGAAGAAATTTTGAAGATAAAACAGTGAATTTGATTTTGCAGATTACTTTAAATTCTAGGCTAATAAAAGAGAATTGGTATTAAGTGTAGGTGGCTTATGTCTATAATCCTATCTATGCAAGAAGCTGAGATCAGAGGACTTCGGTTTGAAGCAAACCTTGGTAGGGAAAGTCTGTGAGATTCTTTTTGTTGTTGGTGGTGGTGGTTGTAGGGCTTGAACTCTGGGCCTGAGCACTGTCCCTCAGCTCTTAGCTCAAGGCTAGCATTCTACCACTTGAGCCACAGCACCACTTCCAGTTTTCTGGTGGTTTATTGAAAATGAGTCTCATGGACTTTTCCTGCCCAGGCTGGCTTTAAACTGTGATCCTCAGATCTCAGCCTCCTGAGTAGCTAGGATTATAGGTACAAGCCACCAGGACCCCGAGAGATTCTTCTCTCTAATTAACCACAAAGATCAGAAAGAGGCCAGGTGTTGGTTATTCACACCTGTAATCCTAGCTACTCAGGAGCCTGAGATCTGAGGATCATGGTTTGAAGCCACGACTCTTACCTCCAGTTAACTACCAGAAAACTGCAAGTGGAGCTGTGGCTCACAGTGGTAGAGCACTAGCCTTGAGTAAAAAAATCTCAGAGGTAGCACCCATGCCTTAAGTTCAAGCCCCTAGTACCAGAAGAGGGAAAAGAAAAAAGAAAAAAAGCAGAGCCTTTCCCAGCTGTGGTCCCTGGAGGCTGAGAAAAGACAGCAAGAGAATTAATGGTTAGAGAGATAGAATGTATTGGCTTTGATGATGAAGTAAAGGAGTGTGGGCTGAGAGGAGGAATGTAGATACCTGAAAATCTGGAAAAGGGAAACATTCACCCAGAGAGTACTAGAAAAGAGCAAACGGTGACAAGTGAGACCCATATATTAGACTTCTCCAGAATTATAAGATAATAATAGAGTAGAAACATGCCTATGAATTTACTTTGGTGGTTCTGTCATATCTCTTCCTTGAAGTTGAAGGATTCATTTTAGGAGAATTATGCTTCAATGGATGTGAAGGGAAAGAAAGGAGCTAGATTGATTCTTCCCTCATTTTCTTTTGGTCAGCCCTGGAGCTTGAACACAGGGCCCCAACACTGTCCCTGAGCTCTTTTGCTCAAGGCTAGCACTCTACCACTTTGAGCCACAGTGCCACTTCCAGTTTTCTGGGGGTTAATTAGTCTCACAGACTTTCCTGACCCACTTGGCTTTGAACCTCAGTTCTCAGATCTCAGCCTCTCCAGTAGCTAGGATTACAGGCATGAGCCACCAGCACCTGGCTCTTTCCTCATTCTTGTTTTTGGTTTTGGTGGGATTTTGGGGGGGAGGGGGCCGTGGGTTTTATTTTGCTTTTTTTTTTTCTCAGTCATGGGGCTTGAACTCAGGGCCAGGGTGCTAACCCTGAGGTTTTTTGCCCAAGGCTTGAGCCACAGCTTCACCTCCATCTTCCCTCATTCTGTTCTTTTTTTTTTTTTTTTGGCCAGTCATGGGGTTTGAACTCTGGGCCTGTGTGCTGAGCTCTTCAGCTTAAGGCTAGAACTCTACCACTTGAGCCACAGTGCCACTTCCGGTTTTCTGATGATTTAGTGGAGATAAGAGTCTCATGGACTTTTCTGCACAGGCTGGCTTTGAACTATGATCCTCAGACCTCAGCCTCCTGACTAGCTAGGATTACAGGCATGAGACACTGGCGCCTGGCTTCCCTCATTCTTATCACAGGGTTTGTACAAGTTTCTCTAAAACTATCTCTTACACTTTTCTACCTGCAGATGGCCGCCCTGCTCCTCCAATGAAAGGCCAGCTTCGAAGAAAAGCCCAAAGAGAGAAGTTTGCAGTGAGTGGCTAGGTTATTTGTGTGTGTTTGGAGGGAAAAAAATGTTAAATCGTGATTGGTACTGCTCATGCCTTAAATCCTAACTACTCAGGAGGCTGACATCTGAGAATGGAGTTTCAAAACTAGCCCTGACAGAAAAGTGTCTGAAACTCCTATCTCTAATTAACCACCAGAAATCAGAACCAGCTTTGAGCAAAAAAGCTAAGGGGCAGCATCTAGGCCCCGAATTCAAGTCCGAGTACTTGTACACACACACACACACACACACACACACACACACAAAATTAAACCATAGTGTGTTTTAAGCTGTGTTGCTAACATCTACTCTGCTTGTCAAAATTTTAACAGCCAAATGTTTGACAGTACTGGGGTCAACACTAGGGCTTCCATGCATGTTAGGCAAGTTCTCCATCCCTGAACTATAGCCCCAGTCCTAATAGCCAGGTGTTTTAATGGCCTTGTAAGAGGAAGGAATTCTCCGAGGGCAGAAACTCATATTAGGCATTCTGCCTCACTTTTTGTTACCTCTTCCTGCTTCCTAACTTGTTCCCCTGTCAGCAGTATCAATGTCCAGCTGAAACCTCTGACTTCATGAAAGGATATATAGGACAGTGCTCGAGCCCCACATGTAATCCAGTTTTCCTGTCTGTTTCAGAGACGAGTTGTATTGCTGTCACAGGAAATGGATGCAGGATTACAGGCATGGCACCTGAGGCAGCAAGAGAAGTTACAGGAAGAAGAAAAGAAGCAGAAAAATGCTCTTAAAGCCAAAGGAGCTTCACTGCAGGGTCCACTTCCCAGATCAATAAAAAACAACTCGTGACACTTTTTTCCAGCCTCTCTCTGATGTTCTTTTGTATCAGCCTAGATAGATTTCTTTTCTGCCTCAGTCTAGCAGAAGAGAGCCCATCTGTCCTCAGAGCAAAAGAGCTCAGATACCAGAAAGAACAGTCTGTAAGAAGCCAGGCTGTAGTGGCTCATGCCTGCAATTGTAACCACTCAGGAGGCTGAAATCTGAGGATAAGTGTTCAGAGCCAGCCTGGATAGATAAATCCCAAAAACTCTTAGTTCCAGTTAACCAGCACAAAAACCAGAAGTGGGGGTGTGGCTCAAATGATAGAGCACCACTCTTGAACAAAAAGCTAAGCAAGATGCATGGTCCTTGAGTTCAAGCCCTGGTAGTGGCCAAAAAAAGAAAAGAAACTAGCAAAGAAAACTAAGCACACTGCTTGGAAAGCTTGGCTCAGTGCCTCATCCCTGGCTCATTTCCAGTTCAGCCAAATTTGCTCTGGGTTTTTGTTTTTTCCTAGTGCTGGAGAATGAACCCAGGACCTTGTGCAAGCTAAACAAACACTGTACCACCAAACTACAACTCCAGCCTTGCTTTGGGATTTTTATCCCCTCCTTAGCAGCCAACAGGACTGACCAGGCTATGAGTCTGCTGCTTCATGGACATGAAAAGGAGAGTACCTGGTTTAGCTAGATATTAAGATTATAACAGCATATACACAGCCCTGTCACCACCTGCAGTTCAATAAAAGTTTTGATAAAAAAGACTTTCCAGCTGAGGTCCCCATTGGCAAGCAACCAATGTCAGTTTGCCCAAGGTTCAGCTTCATTGTCTAGGAGGCCCTCCCCTGGGAAGGCTGATGGGAAATACCAAACTTCAGATGGTTCATATTCTGCTTAATGAGTTGGGTTCTGAGGTCTCCATGGTGCTGACTGAATGTAAGATTGTTTGAAGAGAAGGGCCTTCACCTACCCACCCCTCTACACAAGTGTTCAACCACTATTCACCATAAACTGGAAGGTGCCTGGGACTTGGGAAGCCTTTCATTTTATTGATCATTACCTTCCCATAGGACCTTTGTTCCTGTTCCAGGACAGAACAGTGGATTTCTATCTTTCTGCCCCAAATGTGATCATTCCAATCTGGAGCATTGTATCTAACCTGACCTAATTCCTGTCCAGCCTCCTTTATTGCTTCCCCTGCTAGCCTTCCCTCCCTTCCTCCCCCCACTACACCTCTTTCCTCTCTCGCTGACCAAATGCAATTCTTGGATCTTAGATTTCGCTGATGGTCGAGTTTTGTCTCCCACACTTTTCCTGCTTCTGTTGTGCTGCTTTTCCAGATCTCATTCTCAAGCTCTTATCTGTCTCCTTTTCTCACTGGCAGCTTCAGCCAGCCCCCCCCCCCCCTTCCCTACATATCTCTTTTGTTCTCAGGGTCCAGTCAGTCCCAAAAGATTTACTTTTTAAGGAATTGCCTCCCGGTTTTTCTAGTGTAGAGGCAGAACATTCTGCAACTCCAAAGTTTTAACTCCCAACCCTTCCCTCTATCTTAACATGTTGTTTCACAAAGCTGGGTTTCTTTTCCCCAGTCCCATGGCCTTGAACCCCTAGAACCAGTCAATTCTAATTTACAGGGGAGCTCAATTGCAAAGGACATTCCCTAAGACTGGATCTCCAGAAGCAGTGTAGTGGGATTTGTTGTGTACTGAGTTTTGTTAAGAGTTTGGAATTCAAGAAGGGGGGAGGGGAGGACGACAGGAGAAGTTGTCAACAGATCCCAGCTGACAACCCCCTCAGTAAAATGCCCCTTCTCTCAGCCTTCTACACAAGGCACACCACTCCCCAAGGCACACCACTCCCCACCAACCTCCCAGTTCTTCCCACTGAGGTGAGACAAATGCTGAATATCACCGGAATCAAGCCACCCAAAATATGCTAGGGAAGAGAAAGTCTCCCACACATCCCGTCCCCAGGGTCCCCTACTCTGTGTGTGTGTGTGTGTGTGTGTGTGTGTGTGTGTGTGTGTGTGTGTGTGTGTGTGTGTGTGTGTGTGTGTGTGTGTGTGTGTGTGCCCTCCAGCGCTCTGCTGTAATTGGATTCAGGCTGAAATAACCACGTCCCCACCAGGAAAGGAGGGCATTGGGGGCGGGGGTGGAGGAAAGGCTGCGGGGAGAAGGGAGGGACCAAAAGAAAGACGAGGGCTTCCAACCCAGTTCGCCGACTAAGCAGAAGAAAGATAAAAACGGGAAAGAGAAGCACAAACGGACATTTTCAAGAACAATCCCCTCTCCGGCCGACTGGGCTCCAGGACTTCAACTTTGCTACCTGCCCAGGACAAAGACGCGCCGCAGGAGCAGCGGGCGCGATCCCAGGGCTTGGGCCCCGCCACGGAGCCCCCCACGGCTCGGCTGGCCCGGCTGCCCGGACTTCTCAGACCATGTCTCCCGCCCCTCGGCCCTCCCGCTGCCTCCTGCTGCCCTTGCTCACTCTCGGCACCGCGCTCGCCTCTCTGGGCTCGGCCCAGAGTAGCAACTTCAGCCCCGAAGTAAGTGAGCTCTTCTGGCCCGCTGGGGACGCGATCCCAGGGGTCTCCAATGGGACCGACACCTCCTCGCGGATGAGGACTCTGGGGGTCTCTGCGGCTCCGGCCTGCAGGATCCCCTCCCTTTCTTTTCCCTTCTCATCCTCAAGCTTCCAAGTTGATCCAACTTTTTGCCTGCCTCCCACCAACCCCCACTCTGCCACTGACTCCTTCCTGTTCCTTCCTTTTCTCAGAAGAACTGTTCAGCCCCTGCCCCCAGGGCTCGGGGGCTTCGCTCCTCAGCTAGCTGGGCTCCATCTAAGACATTTGGACCGCGCTCGCTCAAACCCCGCGTGTCCCGGTCCCTTGTCATGCGCGACTTTGTTGTTTGTGAACTTCGCTGCGCCCTCGCGCTCCCCGCGAGTGGAGCCAGCGCGCCCTCCGCGGACGATCTGCGGCCAGGTGCGGCCGCCCGCAGACCGCCCAGCGCCCCGGCCTGGCCGAGATGACCCTCGGCCCCCGCCCGGAGCCCGGCGTGGGGAGACGGCGCTGGCGCGCTGGCAGCCGCTCCTTGTGCACAAAGCTCTTCTTGTGAACCGGGGGCGCAGCCCAGCCTCTGCCTCCCCTTCCCCACCCCCGCCGGCGCCTTCAGGCCCTTTTTGTTGTAGTTCATTGTTTTTCTGCGGTAATTGCCCGCAGACTGGGGGCGTCGCTCCGGGAGTGGGGAGAAGGCCGGACCAGGCACCCTCACGCGTCCTCTTGCCTCCCCCCACTCCTGTCCCTAGCCGCTCCCAGACCGTTGCCCACCGGGCCCTGGAAGAAGCCGCGTGGGAGTGATCGGAGGAAGTTTTTCCTCTTTCACTCTTTTATTTTAGGGTGAAGGTGGGAGACTGACTTAATCGCCTTCTTATTTTGGGCCATTCCAACCCACTCAGCCCGGCAAGGGCCTGGGTGCGGTCGGGAGGGGCTGAGAAAGGCCCAGGATTGGTGGGGGGGGGGGGGGGGGGAGGAATGGGATCTGGATTTGGCTGTGTCTGCCCTGGTCCCAGTCCTGGTCCCACCCCCAGAAAAAAACCTCTCCAGAAAGAACACACTCTCTCTGTCCTTAAAGGGATCTGGGGCTGAAGGGGAAAGGATGGTCCTTGGAATGGAATTGTGGTGTTCCCAGACCCCTCCCCCAGGGGCTGGAGACTAAGATCTAAGATCAGGGAAAAAGGCACCCCTTTACCAGGCCTGGAATCTCAACCTGAGCCAGAAAAAAAAGTTCCTAACAAAAGGATCCTAGGAATGGGGGGGGGGCAGCACTGCCCACTGCCAACTTCACTGCCCTGCCTTTTCCCCTCCCATGCCCCACTAGGCCCTGTGGGGATGGGCGGCAGCCCTTGGCCCAGCTGTAAGTGGGTCATGGATGTCCCAGTGCCAGAACCACCATTTGCTTCTGGGCCGTAGAAGGGTGGGAAGCAAAGAGAGGGAGGGGCAGGCTCAAGAGGCTAGAAGCCAGGGCCGGCTTGAGAGCAGAAGATCCCCCAGGCTCTCCAGGACTCCTGAGATGAGAAGTGTTCCTTCTATTTTCTCCAGGGGAGTGCCTGACTTTTCTCATTCATCTGGGCTTTGCTGCATTCTGTGGCTCATAGTTGCTCCTTCTCCAGGCCAATCTAAAGGAAAAGCTGGTATGGCCTAGGCTTTAGGCATCTGTGTCCCTTCTACCAGGCCTCTACAGCCCTGAATTAGCTCCAGCTGAGCCCTCTCCTGCCCTCTGCCTGTTGGGCATCTGCCCTTCCCCCCACCCAGCCGCAGACAGAAGAGTCCTCTCTTCTGTGGTTCAGACCTCATAGTTTCTGTGGTTCTTGCTTTGCTCAGAGCCTTCCCTGTAAGACAGAAGAAAGAATCTTGTCCAGGAAAAGGATGGTGACACTTCTTTTCCAGGCCTATTGGCTCACTTGAATCAAGGGAAGTCCCTTTCTGTCTAAGCTTCCATGTTCCTCTATAGAATACAGAACAGGAATTGTGTGCGTGATTATTTCAACTTGCTTACCTCCTGAGCAACTCACAGGAGAGGAACTGCGCCCATGGAGGCAATTCTCCCCTCCTCACTGCCCTCCCTTCTATCATCCTGCCTTGGGAGCATTCATCTTAGCTTGGCTTAAGAGGGTTGAGGTTTCTGACTTCATTCCTCTTGACTTCCACTCCCATCCTCCAAGTCCTAAAGCAGCAGCGCTCCCAGCAGGGATCAGAAGCCTGGGGTGTGTCTGTCCTGCAGGTGAGGCTAGGGGCAAAGAGAGTTTCCTACATAGTTGGGCACAGGCCACAGCAGGCCTTGTCAGGACACTGGCTGTGGCATCAGCCAACACAGGTCAGGGCAAGCCTGCAGCTCAGGAAGAACATCTCTAGAGTTGGAGCATACTGCTTGGTTCCCCTTTATTTATTTTTTTGTCGGTTGTGGGGCTTGAACTCTGGGCTTAAGTGCTTTCCCTGCACTCTTCAGCTCAAAGCAAGCACTCTATCACTTGAGCCAC